ATCAAGTCACTGAAACTCCAACTAGACCAACGAAAATATTATGTAATTCCTCAAACGAGAAACTATCAGTTGCATTATCCGATGAGGAGACATTGCCCTATTTGCTAGATAACAATTTGAGCAAGCAACAGTATATAAACACAATACTACTATATGAAATCCACAATGCAGATATTTTCCCATCGATCGAAAAAGTGAAAATAGCAAAAGCAACAAGCAGACCAGGCTTACAAGGGGAAAGATAATGGTTGCGGCTCGTCTAATGATGCAAATACTGCACGACATGCCTTCTCAGAGCCTGCTGTTTTTTTCAGGAATTAATGGTGTTAATGAAGACCTAATTAAGAGATTTAGCCTCCTGATAGCCATGTCTAGTCAATAGAGCACTGATCCTGAATTACTTAACAAGTATTGTACGGAGACTGCTGAAGTATACAGAGAACTCTAGGATTGGTTCCCCATGCCTGTAAGTGTTCATGAAGTTATTGTACATTGGAAACACATACTTCAGCATAGAATTCTGCCACTTGGATGCCTGAGAGAAAAAGCTTCAGAACCCAGAAATAGATTGTACAAAAGAACAGAGAGAGTCACGCAAGGAAAGACAACAGAATCCACAACTTAACTGATATATTCAACAGAGCATTGGAAATATTTGATCCCATCTTGCCGACTGCCAGCCTCCATAAAAGAGTTCAAAATAATAAGAAAAAAGACCTTCCACCTTAAGTAATCAAAATGCTCATATGCCCTGCACCAGAATCAAATTCACATAAAGCAATTGAGGAAATATCTGATCTTGTTGAAGTATCTGATAAGGATGCTATGGAATACATACTTTGCAGTGATTAGAGTAAACATTACTTAATATTAGTAAAACGAATTATGTCTATTTCACAACAGTATGAAATCTTGTTAAATGAAAATAGAGATCAATAACTTAATAAGAAATGTTTTCATGATGTTTAATTTCTCTTGCCACCTCAAGACAGTACGTCTACGTAAGCCGCCATTTTGAAATTTTGCAACATGTAATATGATAAATTTATTATTTCCATTATGTCTACATGTGTACTAGATTTCAGGCTCCAAATTACCAAGTTATGACTTTTGGCCAAGGATAGCGCACTTTCATTCCACAGTGCGTCACTGAAAAACGTGACTACTGAAGAGTTTAAAATTTAGTGTACTGATGGTTTGGCGAGAGCCCAAAAATCATTATGATAATTGTTATTTTTGTGTTATAAACGTCAAAAGGTTCAATCGTTACAAGAAGAAGAACTGAGTACCCTGATTTGGAATGAGCAAGGCGACTTGTGTCACAGGGACTGGAATTTCCCTTACCTTTCCTTCACCACACACCCTGGAATTCCTTTGCCCAATAGTGAGGATATACAGGGTGTTAATTCAGAAGTTAGCAGCGGCTCTGAATTCAATGGAACTATTGCAATTGCCAAGAAAGCAATTCTCTCAAGAGCTCAGGTATTTAATATGTGACCTCAGTTTACCAAAACAAGCAGCTGAACTTTTAGCATACAGACTAAAAGAAAGAAATGTCTGACACCAGAAGAAAATAACATTTTACAGGACAAGAGAGGCAAAACTCTTATCATATTTCAGTGAGACCGTGCACTGTGCTAACGTTCAAGGACTACTTAATATTGATGTTTCAGAATATCGACGCGAAGACTGGAATTTTTCCTAGACGGTTGCACTTGAAGTTTTTTAGTGTGTTTTTCTGCATAATAACTACTGCTATTCGTCACTCTCAATTGGTAACTCAACAAAAATTACAGAAGGATATCAAAATGATCTTACAAAACCTTTGTTATCATGACCATCAATAGCTTACATGCGTAGATTTCAAAACTATCAATTTTGTACTTGGAAATCAATGCTTGTGGGATAGTTGAGCAAAGGAGCAGCTGGAAATTGTGACAGTCGCCAAGGAAAAATATCACAAAAGATGCAGCAAATATCGTGAACGATCCAGTGTTTGATAAAGAAAAGATAACTCGCCCTACCCAGCACATAAAGTTGGGATTAATGAAGTAATTTGTGAGAGCGCTAAACAAGGATGGCGATTGCGACTCATGGTTTTAAGCATGTAACTGTTTAATTTCTAAGTAAATACCATTTAAAAGCAAAATATAATTGAAGTTATTTGTTAATACGGGATGTTCACAGTAACGCTCAGCATTTTCCTACGTGTTTTATAAAATTGAACTTAAGTTCAACAAATTTACTAATTATGTTATTAGCTCAGCTTAAAATAATTATTGTTAAAAATGTTAAATTATTATCAATTTTTCTGAAAATACAGGAAAAGTAAATATTTTATAATACAATTTTAAAGATCGGCGAAATGAAATATCTAAATATATTTTTTAAACGTGTCCCGACATAGGGGGCGGGCCGATGCCCCCTGAATCACGCCTCTGCAACTACCTTCAAAAACGTTTTTGTTTTGTTTTGGTACACTTTCTCGTAGTGAGATATTCTTTTTCTGTATAATAATATTATTAACAATAATAATAATAATAATAATAATAATAATAATAATAATAATAATAATAATAATACCCCGTGTGGTGCCGGGGGTTTTAGTAGAACAGAACCATGGGACCTCCCACTGTCATAAAGCCGACTAATTGGAGCAACTGTCCGCTGTCACTCCTCCAAACATCCCATCATTCCCACAAACTTGGTGTGTCATTGCTTCCACTTACTTGTGGCACACTTCTGTTAATGTTAATATGATTTTTTAACTTATCAAATTTTATTTACTGAAAAGAAGAACAACCGGTGTATTTGTGCACTTTATATAGAAAGGATAAACAGAGTTGTGAAAAATACTGAAGCCAGACATTATTGTCCTTAAAGTGAACAAAGAAATTATTGTCGAGACAGAAACAATCTTTTACGAATTGATGAAGATAAAAAATAAACCTAATTTTAACTTTTAATTCTCATCTCAATATTTTTATCTTTTACTTTGAAATTCCTAGACTTCCATATAGAAAAATCCATCGAAAAAGATGCAATAAAGTGAAACTTTCAGATCAAAATTGACTGTAAGGAAATTTAACTCAAAATTTGAAAATTAACATCAACACTGTACATTCGTCAGTATTTTAAAAATATTTATTATATCATACCAAATACCACTTTTCTTCATAACATTTCTTTTTACCTGAACATGAAAATCAGTTATTTGTGTGTTTTCAGAACATATACATCTGTTTTAAATATCTGATATATTAGTTGAAAGAAAGAAAAAGCTGTTGTTCTTTAGCACAAGTTTATGAGATATTAAGATGAAAGTCTAATAAAAAAAAATCATTAAAAGGAAATATCTTTTAGAATTATTTTGCACTCAAAAAATAGTTTTTGGTACTTTATTTTTTATAAATCTGCACAATTTTCTGTTTGAATTATATTGATATCTTTCCTACAAATATTTTTTAAAAATTATTTATATGTGAAGTCCTTGTGCTTAGGTGCTGGCTCCAATACTTCTAGTTTGTTACATAGTGCAGCGTATAAATACTGAAAGACAGACATGCAAAAAGTAAAGACTTCACATTGCTAACCAACATTTAAAAAAAGTCTCAAATGAAAAATGATTATTCTGATGACCCAAGTAATCAAGCTGGAATGTTCTGAGGGTTGCATTTCTCGAAAGTTGATATTTTTGACACTTAACTGTTCTTTCCTCAGATTACATTTGGAAACTGAAAATTTCAGTTGTTAATAAAGGTCTCATACATTTACTGAAACATTTTTTTCTTATTACCTCTAATTATCCATTTTACGTAACTTTATTTACAAGAAAAAGTGTTAAAAAAATTGCATAATGAAAAAAATATTTTTATCTTAAAAAATAGGAAACTTTTTCAAAACCGTTGTTTCAATGTAATTATGATGCAACCTATAAAAATTTCATAAGCCTAACTTCAATAGATTCTGAAATTTACACTGAAACATTTAATATTGCCAGGATAGGGCATTCCATATCCCCTAATTCAATATTTGAGATGTCCGCTTCCTTGAATGCGGTACAAATGACACTGATGCAAATCATTTTTGATGTCTGTAATTTTGTATATATTTTTTTCAGACGTTGTTTTAATTACTAGTTTTAAAGTGCATGTTAAAGAAAAATAAACTTTATCAATTAACATGATTAGAAAATGCAAAAAATGTATAGTACAAATTACTGATAATGAAAAAACTTTCCAAAACAGTAACGTACTAAACTTTTTTTTTAGTTTATCTCACTATTATTGGGAAAGCAAGGATGTTACACAAAACCTCCCTGGTTCCTTTGTTTCTGGGGGTAGTCAGGTAGACTCCAAACATTTTACACAACATGAATGGCCATTTTGAGAAAGTTTCACATCTGATAGAAACAATATTATTTCCAACCCTTTGATTGGCCCACAAAAAATTTTGCTCCCAGCTCTTCACATAAAACTAGGGCTAATGAAAAATCTTGTTAAAATAATGAATAAACAGAATCCAGCTTTTCTTTATATAATGAAAACATTTCCACACATCAGTGAGACAAAATTGAATGCAGGTATTTTTGATGGTGCTCAAATTAGAAGATCCAGAGTTTGAAAAGAGTATGAATGAAATAGAAAGGAAAGCTTGTCTTGATTTCACAGTCACTGCACAACAATTTCTTGGAAAGGAATGAAGTCCCAAACATGAAGCTATCATTCAGTCCTGAACAGCTTCAAGATCATGGGGGCGTGCATGTCTCTTAAAATTGCATTTCCTGAGTATACATCTAAATTATTTTCCATACAATTGTGGGGATTATGGTGAGGAACAAGCAGATAGGTTCCACCAGGACGATGTAAGAGAGGTATCAAGGTTGCTGGGACATGATGACTGACTTTTGTTAGTATCTGAAAAGAAATGAACGTGGAGCCTCACAAAAGGAGCGTAAGTCATTTTTAATAAAACGAATTACCTTATATAAAAACTTTAAAATAAGAAAAAGGAAAGGTGAAATAGCTACATTTATTTTAATCGTACACATTTATTACTCACAGGGGATGCATACTGAAAGAAAGTACAAAAGTAATTTTTCCACAATATTTGTTTTTTCAAATATAATTTTCTATTAACAAAGATTGTGCTGAAACCATTTTGTGTTTTATTCTCTTAATACTTATCTTCATGTAATCTAATGTTATCTAATGTTGTTGTCACATCTAATATCTAGTTATTGACCCACTGTAAAACAGAAAATGTCCTAATGGTAAAAACAGTATGCTTAATAGCCATAGAATCCATAGCACAAAAAGTAGATGTGATAGACAAAAACTAATATTATTCTGAGCATTAGTAAATTGCCAATGGCCAATTGCCAAAAGGCCAATGTCAACATTGAAAATTTAAATATCATTATTAAAGGGAAACCCAGGATCTTCCTAACCACTGATTTAAAATAAAACAAGAAGCACAAAGAAAAACATATTTAATATGTGTACATAAATTTTACAAAATGTGATGTGCAAGTTTGAGATAATATAAAAACAAATCTACTATTTCTAAATATTCCAATAATGTAAAATTTTACACTTTGTACTTCCCAAGTGATAACATGGTTACAAGGAGTCTACAAAAAGTATTGCCCAAAAAGACCCTGCCAGCAGGAATCTTTCCTTTCAGAACAAAATAATTTTACATTTTTACATAGGTCAGTTCACAATGAACTATACAAAAAAATACCTGGAGCCCACAGAACAATAAAACCAGAAATACCTGGAGCCCACACATTTGAGTATTTGCCACATCCTTATTGTAATTTAAAATTCTTATTGACAATCCAGCAAGACTTCACCTCAATCTCCTTCATAACCAGTATGCAAGTTTTTTGCAATTCACAGACTTCAAGAGAAACAAGAAGACATAAAACTAATCAATATCTACAAACACTTAAGAGTCATATCTCACTGAATTTTACATAGAAATATTTGGAATGGAGTACAGAAAAAATGTTCAAAATATTACGTTAAATAATCTTCAATAATAACTCATTATTTATCCAATACTAATGCGGTTACCATTTTGAAGCATTTCCTTTGTACTTAATTTAGATTGCAGAACATACCATTAATATTTCATTATTAGCTGCGCAACATATTACCTGAGGAAACAATTCAACTACACAAAGAAAATTAAAAAATAAATGGATATCAAAACTTACATATAACATGGAAACTTCTTTGCTTAACATTGTTGGAAAAGTCAAATTACATTAGTACCTGAGAGGAGAAAATGTTCACTAATTACCTTAAAATCCTATACAAGCAAAGAACTGTTAGGAAAAATATACAACAGGCCATTAATACTGTCCAAAGGATCACTTAACAAAATATTAAAAAGACCTATTTACACAATAGACCAACATAGGCAAGACAAAACAAATATCTTTACAAGTTCTTTTTTAGTTTTCAATCCGTATCATCGTCTTCTTCTTCTTTTGATTTTTTATTTGTAAGTTTACTTTTTTGTCCTTTTTTACTTTTGCTTGTGGATGGTTCTGATTCTCCAAAACCATACTTTACTTTAAGACGTTCACGAATTAGAAGACCTTTTATCAATTTACGCCAGTTACCATATATCCTTTTGTCCCTTTTTTCTTGTTCTCTTCTTTCTGACTCCTCTTGATCCTATAACAAATGAGATGAAAGCAACAGTTAATTGCAATTGTTCAGAATACACCAAAATGAAAAAAGGTTATTCATGTAAACTCCCAATCAAAATTAACTAATTGGTGAAAATTAGGAAAAGGCTTATTCTTTTAATATTTAATTAAGTCTTCAAGCTCTAACTTACTTGGTTGTGAATATCTACTCAACTCTCTTGATTCATAAGAACATTATAATTAGTATGATTTTCAGATTAGAGTTTTAAATTTGAAAATATGGAATTACTTCAATGAAACTATTTAGAAAATTATCATATCACTGATTATCCTTTTCACTCCTTGATGTAAATAGTATAACTAAAGCTGGGGCAATGTTAATGGACTTCTGACTTCTACTCCATCCAAATATAGTAATTTATATTTCAGAATAAACTATAAATGAAAACATTTTTTAATTTTATTTAATTCTTTATTAATGCTTTATGGAGAACTAGTAACAAATTGGTGTTCACATTCCAAAATATGTTTTTGGATATAAATAAGTGTTCATAACAAATATAAACTTTATAAGTAAAGGATTTTTATAAAACTATTAATTCTAACATTCTAGGTTGGTTTAAATTATTGGACATTGTTGGAGTTAATTTCTGAGGGTAAGAATGTCATTTGTGAAATAAATAGTGTTTTTAGGGATTTTTATCAAAACCAACTTTCTGTTGTTTTTGTAGGTGGTCTCACAGCTGTTGTTATTTAATGTAGCCAATTCGGGTAATGTTGAGTATTCAGAATAATCTCTGATAACTAACTAATAACTGGTAAGTATTTCAATTAGGTCTCCTTGCACTCTTTTCTGTTGTGCAATGGCAATATTCTGAGTCTTTCTTCATATCCGAGTTACATTATGTAACCCAAGTTTTGCTGAACTTTCTTATCATTTTCACCCTGTTTCTAACATGGCAATTTGGAGGTTGGTGTCGGTAAACATTCTTAACGAAACAGAAGTTTAATATATATTAGTGATGAGTAGAATCCAAAGTTAGGCACAAAAGATCCAAAATAGGCAGGCAAAAAAACACTAAAAATATTAAAAATTGGTTCTGCAATAGACTTGCAAACATTTTGTGGTCGTAGTTTCCCAATAAATACTAATATAAGGAAAGAAAGGATTTCCAAAGACCTCAAACCTGTAAATATGAACACTTTTACATGGAACATGCTTTAAAATTACATAAATTTTTTAATTGTATGTAATTTAATGAAGGTAACATATCCATTCAAATTTCGGTAACACATTTTAAACAGTAAAACTTGCTCAAAGTAGAACCTCAAGGGACCACACTTTTTTTCTGTATTAGGCAAGATTCCGCTTTATGCAATGTAATCTGTAGAATTTGTAATTGGCAGAACCGCGATTTAAGTTCACACCAGACAGATTTACACATTATACACGTTCCGCATCGGGCAAGTTTTACTGCATAACAAAACTGAATCCAAATGAAACTAGTGGGGAATTCGCAGCATACCAAAACTTTTCTGCCACTTTTTTTATTACTCAACAAATATTCAGGTTTTTTGTAAAAACTCATGACATCATTTCAAGATCCAAAAATAAGGGGTAAATTTATTTGAGTAAGAAATGCTTGGCTTTAATGTTGGAAGTGTAGGACAGGTTTGAAAAAATTTTTGAAGTTTACAATTTTCAACATTTTAGACAATCCCAAAATTAAAATATTAATTGTCTCTGGAATGGCACAACTAGATCTTACTGCTAACATATTTACCATGTTTCAGCTCAAAAATTTCTAAGCCAACAGCAAAACTATTATTATATTATCACTTATACATACACAAAATACTATCAGTCCACTAAAGAATTTTTATGAAAAAGTTAGATACATTTTTTTAAATAATCTTCTCAGCAGCAATTTTTTTACTTTCTACTAAACATATTTCCGGCTAGAAATTAATTGAAAAAGTTAAGAAAACTAAGCAGAGAAAACAAACTTGTTTTATACAATGTAATATTAATATTTCTTACTAATAAACAAATACATGATATGCAGAGGGAGGGTGGCCCACCCTGTCTGTCCTAATGAAGTATTTCAGCTATAAAATTTAAAATAAAAATGTATTTCTATTAAGAAAGTTGCACCTTTTACAATAATGACTTTAAATAACTAGAAAAATCTTAAATAAATTATTTTATACAATAATCATTTGCAATATGAGAGTAGAATTAGAATTTATACAAGAGAAGGGAATAATTAACTTCCAAGGAGGCACTAGAAGCCAAGTAGGTTTATTCTCTAAAATGAACAAAACTTGTTTACAATTGAGTACCACTCATTATTTTTTCCATTATTTAATGATCATGAAAGCATGACATGAAATACCTAAAAAGAGTATATTGCCTGGGAGGAAAGAAAGAAAAAAAATACTTTGGGTGGCTATAGACAGCTGCTGGCGGGAGAATGTGACTAGTCCAGACCAAAGAAATTAGAAAACAAACTAGTACAAGAAATTCTGCGCCATTCTGTAGCACCATTACTTTCTTTATTTAGTACTATGAATCATCCTTCCACAGCCTTTCTCTTCTTCTGCTCTCTCTCATACTGACTCTGTTACTCTAATTCCGTTTCCTGTCACTTTTGTTCTTCAATAGGTTTTTCTGCTTAGCTCTGGCCTTACAAACATAGCAAAGCGTGTCTCAATCGATTATGATTGCATTTTTTTCTCCATCGGCAGTTTAAGATTATATTAACAAGTGCCAGTTGTAGCCCTAATGTGTGCACGCATAGATCCTATAATAAACAACACGTGCACAAATTTCACAAACACAACGAAGCAAATATAAAATCATTGGCTATGTGTCTTTTCCTCTCACACGCATTACGTTCAGAGGGCCTTGCTATGTTATAGTTTATACTAAGCGCGTATTTTCAAATACATTAGACTCTTGTGTATTTTGCTTGTTTGACTTAAAATGATGTAATTAACTTAAAATAGTTATTTAAAAATGATTATCTTAATTTATAAATATTTTTATAAATAATTTTATCATAAATAATTAATTCTGCCAATTGGATATAATTGTTAGCTTGAATTCTACATTGACAATCGATTTTTTGAACATGAGAACTATTTTCCCTGTATATTTTTTGGAATTGTAATTCCCTGTTTTTTTCAGTTTTCCCCGTGTTTTCTAGAAAGCGGTCACCCTGAACAATTAATTATGATATTAAATGAAAATGTAATACATCTATGGGTAACAAAATGGCCTCTAAAACCTCCAATTCCAAATTTTCCTTTCTCTTTTTATAAGAATTGATTAAGTGCTTCCTAGGTTCATACTTCTTGAGGAATTTTAATCTTTTAGTACTGATGTGGCATTGTGACAGCCATTGAACTGCACAATTAGTGAACAGTATAAATAACTATCAGATATTCAGGTTTGTTATGCTCGTTATTTACTTTACAACTAAAAATTCTTAATAATAAACTTTTCTTCTTAGTAAAAGAAAAGAAAAAAAGAGAAAATATAAGAAGAAAAAAAAAATTAGCTGTCACTTCCTTCCTCAAAAGGCTAGTGTATTCTATAACAAAGTTTCACAATTCAAAGTTAAGCAAATAAAAACTTGAAATGGTAAACTCCAACAAAATGGCACGACTGTGAACAACTATATTTATTGGAAGGTAACAGTACCGTCCCAAAATATAGTCATGCCATTGATATTATCACACTGCAAGAAGAAACTAAATGTAAATCTTACCCGATTCCATGCATCCAAAAGAACATCTTGAAATTCTTCGCAAACAACAAATCCATCATACATAGGATGAGAAGCTCCACAATGAAAATCAAAACCAACAACAGCTGGTGCACAGTCAATCTGAAGTTTCTTTGCCACTCTGTTTAAGCCAGGAACTACAAATAGCAAATAATTATTTAAAACACCAGTACAAAAAATACATCTATGATATTACCTCAAGAAACAAATTAATAAATACATTATAATATAGTAATAATCCAAATGTCTCCAAAAGACAATAAATTAATGGGTTACCTTGTAAATGAACTGTTCCTTTTGGTAACATAGATGGTTTAAACAATTCTACGTTTCCATAAGCATTTCTGGGGACTTTTCCATCTACAGCGGTTGGGGGTACATAATCCTCTACTTGCCACGGTCCAAATATTTCAAGTGGCAAGTCAGTAATAACTTTTCCAGACATCTAAATGAAATTAACTCATGTTTAATATAATGATATTGATAATAATGTGGTAATTCCTGTTTAAAACTAAATTTGTTTTCATAGTTTCTAACTCACCCTATCCCACTTTGGTCTTGCTTTCACAATTTTATACGGTTTTTCGCCTAGCCTGACTACTTTAGCTTCCTTTAACCATATTTCTCTAGAATGCAATGTATAAACACATTCTCTTCTATATACAGGCTCTCCTCTAATATAACCTAGTGTTGGAGCCTTGGGAGGGTATATTGCTTGAAATTTAAGTAAATGACGTTGTAGAGCATATAAAGGATGATTTTTATACCTGAAAATATAATGGATTTTTATAAATACAAAAATTGAAATATGTACTTTATTTGACATAACTAGTAAAACAACTTTCCTCAATAAAACTATTGGTCAAACAAATAAGAAGAAAAAAAAAAGAGTATTAAGATTTTAACAGAATAGTTTGTTTTGCAAAACAGTTTAAAATTTAATCAGTTTTATTTTTTATTACAATACTTAAGTCAATCCTTAAAGGCCATTTTTAATTTATTCTACAACATGAAACATGAAGAATTCATTACAATACATAACTAATAATACATAAATTAAAAATATCAATAGCAGTTTTGAAATGATATATTCTTTTTTATTAGTAATTTCTTACTCAGAAATACTTTTTGGCAAGGGCATCTCTTCAATTTGCTTCTGCATATCTTCATCCTCTTTCTTGTCATGGGCAGTATTTCCAGTCAAAAATGGAAATAATGACTCCCTCCACCATTTCTCATCAACTCGTTGTTTCCGCGTAACAGAATGAAACTGAGCACAGTATTTACGAGTGATATCTTTTAAGGTCATGTCAGGATTCCATGCCACAATATAAGAAACAGGTTTTGTAGCCCTTTTCTGTAAATAATTAAATTACAAAGCCTAAAAGGAATTTATCCTGCAATTTTAAAGGTTAATAACAGTTTTCATAAAAACACTTACATACAACTTCCCTGCACAATTAACTTCTCCAGAAGATATATCTATTGGAATCCACTTTTCAGAATCTATTAATACTTCCAGCCAAAAATCATTCTTGGTTTTATTTTTATTATCACTATCACCTGAATCATCAGAATCAGATGATAACACACGTCTTTCAATATCGTTTTGGGTACTACTACTTCTCCTTCCTTGCTTCACTTTTAAGGAAAGTTCTTGCTCAAAATCAGATTCACTTTCTGAATGATTTGTTGAGGAACGTGATTTCTTCACAGTTGCATTTTTCTTCAGAATTTTTTTATTGCTTTCTTTCTGTGATTGTGGAAGAAATTCATCTTCACTAGTGTGGGAAGTAGAAGGTTTGATATCATTTCTTGCTTGTGTTTTAAATTTTGTGTTTTGTTTATTCTTCTGTATGTCAGAATTTTTTGAGGAATTAGAATTTTCCCTCACATGTTTTTCAGATATTTCTTCTTTTATTTTAACAGCGTTTCTAACTTCCATTGTACCTTGGGTAGGTATTTCTTTTTTGGATGATTTATCCTGTTTCACTTTTGAGCCATCTTTCTTAGATATGTTTTTGGAAACTTCTATGTTTTCTACTTTTTCTATATTATTTTTCTTTACACTACTTCCTGATTTGGTTTCTTCTTTTTTAGTCACGCGTTTTCTTAAAGCCATAGCTTTCTTTCCTTCTTCTTCTTCTGTTGCAATTTCTTCACTGGAACTACTGGCATCTTTATATTTATTTTCTGTAGTTTTTCTAGGCCTTATACTTCGCCGTAATGTTTTTTCATCATCTGACTTCTCTTTAGAACTAGGTTTCTCAACCCTTGGTTTTTTTGCAGCTGCAACTGTTTTTCTATTATTTTCTGAAGATTTCAGACGTTTGATTGCTTCATCTTTAGATAACACCTTTTTATTCAGTTGTTTTGCTTCTTCAGGAGAAAGAACTCTTTTTTCCACTTTACTCTTTTCTGGATTCTTACTTCGAGGTCGCCCTCTTTCTGTTTTTACACTAACTGTTTCGATGGTTGAAGGTTTAAGTGGGACAGGCTGAAGAGAAATAATGAGTCTAGTTGTCACACCAATGGAACGTAACAGACAAATAAATAAAAATACCAAATCCCGTTGTGATTTTGCTGTTCCATTTGCAAACTGCTGTTGCAAAGATTCCAACAACGGAACAAAAGTAGATTTTTCAGAAGGAATTTCCACGACAGGCACAGTTTTCATAAACCATTTACAAATATCCTTTAGATAAATAAGATCAACTTTATTTGGGTAAGAATGCTTTGAAGGAATCAATGATAAAGAAAGACCCATCAGTTCTTGCGAATTAAGAACAGCATTGACATGTAAACCATGAGCAATCCAACAGAGTAAATGCACTTTATGAATTAGAACTTGTTGTTCCCTCTTCACTTGATTCATTCGACGTTTTAAGAATGCAGCCATGTCAAAATCTTTCTTTTTTCTTTTATGATAGAGCTCTGGGGCATCTACAGTAATCTGAACACCTTCCTTAGGAAAACTATGAGGTTCTTTCTTGATTTCCTTTTTCTCTTCTTTTACTTCCTCCCAATCAGTCAATTCTTCTTCAGACGAGAAATGATGTGATGCATTTTTGACATCGTTAGTAACCTGTGTTTCTCCTAATGCTAATAGTTCTGACACATCCATTGAATCAACACTTTTAGTTTCAGATTGAACTTTGACTTTTGGATGTTTCTTTTTGTTTGAAGATTCATTTACACTCAAACCAGGTCTTGATTTTACTCTTTTTGTTTTCAACTTCTGTTTGCTTTTATCATTCTCTGATTTGATATCAACTACTAGGGTCTGCTGGCTAAAGGGCAAAGGAATAGGAATATATTCTACCTTCTTACAATCTTCATCATCTGAACTTTCAGTGTCTGTCAAACGCTGGATTTTATCAAACATTTTCTTTTCTACATCTTCAAAAGTTAATGATGTCTCTTTCTTTCGAAAATCTACTTTGAAGAAATCAGAATCAAAATCTAGAGTCTGAGGTGATTTCATATAATCAACAGAAGAATCTGAGGAATCTGAATCATTACCATTAACATTTGGTGATATAGACTGTTTATCAAAGCCATTTCTGCCCACACACTGTTCATTGGTAATATTTTTTTCAATGCTTTCATTATTTGTCAGAGTGTTTGGTTGTTGGAGTTTCTGTTTCTTTCCATTATCTTCGAAGTCGCTGCTATCATTATCTTTGATTACAGGAGATTTTGAAAGTCGTTTCGATCTTCTAGGCTTCATTTCTATAAAGAACAAAGAACAGCGGCGTTATAGAAAATCCATCAGGATTTCGTAGTTTTCGATGACAACCTAAGCACACTATTCCCAAGCACCAAGCGAGTAAGTCTGTCCTTTACCAGTTTTATTTCACAAAAATATAAAGAAACAATTTTGCACAAAGTACACAGTATTCAAGAGGCGGGAAAGAAATTGCTTGCCCAAACCTGTCTGTACGCCGCGGGTTATGCGAACGGAGGTTACGTAACCACACATTGGCATGTGTTCATTCATTCACATCGAGAATAACAACTCAACGAATGAAAAGGAAATTGTAATATAATATATAATTAAAATACTGCTTTGCCCAAGAGCGTCTTATTATTTTATTAAAGTGCACTTTCGGTTCGTGCTTGTTGTTTGTTAAGTTCTCGGAATATTTTGGCAACTCTGAAGTAAATGAGGCGGTAAATTCAAACAACGTACAGTAATGATCATGTACAATCATATACTATCTAGTATTTGATATAATATCGTTAGGCGTGGATGTCACTGTTTTTAATAATAATAATAATAATAATAATAATAATAATACTTTATTTGCTTTATGAAAATTGATTCAAAGAATGTTTGACAAGTCAATTTCCTCCAGCAATACATTATTTTACAATAATTCTTGAATAGATAATACATGATTATAAACATACAATTATTTAAATTCGGAAGTTTATGATGTCATGTTTCCTTTAATCCATTCAGTGAATCATTGATCTGGTTATTTCACTTCGTATTCTTCACGCAAGATATATAATTTTATAACAAACGCAATTTTTCAACCAACGCTTTTTGACACTAAGTAGTCTGCGACAGATCCTATTTGCAGCGATACGGGATCCATTGTGGAGCGAGGGCCCTCGCTGTCGATTCAGCGCTCGCGTTGTTTAATAAACCTCTCTCATTTTTAAGACGATTTCTGTTTCCGGGAATGATATTTATTGTACTGACCTGCATTTCCACTAGCACATTTTCCACTAGTACTGTTGCACCAAAAGTCACCATGAAACATTACAAATACAAACAAAGAACTCCTTAGTAACCATGAGACCAGAAACTTCCTTCTAATCAACCTTACTTAATTACTAATATTCATACTCCCATACTATAATAGACAAAGGAAATATATTTAATTTTACTTTCTCGCCCTTATTTCTTAAGAATAGAAAGTACTGTAATCATGAACCGGAGAACGACGTTTTCGATAGAAAATCTCATTGATGGGCTCTGGCAATGATAAAGTGAATAAATCTTGTTCATACGTATAGTAATATTCTTTAACACCTCTTAGACGTTAGGTAGTCAGAATTCATTTCTTGTGGATCCTTGACATAGAAAAATCGATTGACGGCAAAACCGTTCGTCCCTTCTGTCTGTCCGTCCGGCATCTGTCCGTTCGTCTATCCGTTCGTCCCTTCTGTCTGTCCGTTCGTCCATCCATCCAGTCAATGCTGATCCCTAAACCCGTCAGCCGGTTTACTCCAAAATTGATATTCCCCGATCGATTTGAACGAACTTAAGCTCCTGGGAGGTCGAAACATATTTTAATTTTTGGGGGTACTTTACATGAAGCCTCAGGTAAAGTACCGCATACATAAAAATTTCAATGTAAAATTTCAAAAGAGTCTCAAAAATGGCTTCAAATATTTTTATTGAACTTTGTCCTCGGATAGCTTAGAAAACGCTTTAAGAAATGGTTTAGGTCTCATTTTCATAGGTAATGCCATGAGTGCTTTGAAAATTGTCGATAAATTCCAGACTCGCGAAGCATGGAGGGGAATTTATCTGAGAATTTCCAAAGCACGAGTGGTATTTAATAGGACTATTTCGAGTGAAATTACGTCGAGCAGAATTCCAAAATGCGTCAAATATTGAAAACAACTGAAAGCTATGTTAAAATCGAATAGATTGTTATAGTACATACGCGGTTTATTGAACATTGACATAGCGATGGATGTACAATACTACCACCCAAGATAGATGAGTCACAGTTTATGATTGGTCAATAGGAATAACCGGTAAGAAAAATCGGACAGAAAAAAAACGATAAACTTTTTTGGATTCACCGCCCTGATTGGGGCATTTTGTATGTATTGTTAAACAATATTGGTTTTAATTTCACGAGTGGAATGGTCGTTGAAATCTCCGATGTTTCGTATATTGTTCAACTATTTTTTTGCCTTCTTCCTGCAACTACGAGGTCCATCCAGAAGCTAAGAGTATCTATTTTTTCTGCTTTGAAAGTACACGCATTTCGGCGGGGAAACTGTGCATGCCTAACGGATCTTGACGTCCATGTGCCTTATCAACCATGTGCTGACCGGGCAGGTCCCGTCGAATGCCAACTGCGCGGCACGGCGCGGCAGCAATGGCCCAGCTGGGGGCGCTTATTTGTTCTCCCGCCGCGCCTGCGAGCTTCGGCCCGTGATTAAGTTCCTTAACGCACGACACATCGCTCCGATCGAAATTCTTTAGCTCTTGTAGGCCTGCTTACTGCAGATGTGCTGCTTCATGACAATGCTGCATGTGCTGCTTCATGACAGATACGGCTCGGCGATCAGCAACCGTTCTGCAGTTCGGCTGGGAACTGTTTGAACATCCCCTATACAGTCCTGATCTCGTAACCAGCTATTTTCATCTTTTTCTTCACCTGAAGACAATCCTGTTCTCCCGTCATCGACGAAGAGCTGAAGATGACTGTGTCACGGTAGTTTCAGTCGCAAGCGGCACACTGTGGAACACGTATACAAAAGTTGATACCACGATGTAAGTGCCTCAATTCGTGTGGTGACTATGTCGAAATATAGCTCAATCATTCTGTACCTGTTGCCAATAAAGTTTTGTATGTAGCAATTGTTGTCTTTTATATCACAAAATTGGGAACTTACTTTCTTAAATAATTAGGGATTTCTTTCTTAAATAAAACTGCTCTAAAAAATAAAACCTTTAAAAAAGGCCATGTACAACTTTTTAGAAAAAAAAGGTAGTTTTGTTAGTTTTTGTTTGAAGTTAGTGCAAATTATAAAAAAAAAAATAATTTTTTCAAAACTACTCCTAATTTTTTCCACGAATAGAACAAGGGACACTTAAAAGTATGGCACAGGTCTCATTTTCATTGAACTCTGAATATTTGAAAATTGCAGAAGTTAGAGAAATTGTAAGAAAATATTTGTTGTTGTAGCTCTAGTAGTTCAATTGTGTGCTGAACTTATTCTATAAGTTATCTGAACTGAAAACTGAACTTATTCTAGAAGTTCTATTATCTATAGAACTTATTCTATAAGTTTTATAGATAATAGAACCTATTGCATAGGTTCTATATTCTAGGACCTATATTCTATAGGTTTATATTATATTTTACATTTCATAATATTCAATATTACATCATACATGTACAGAATAATATTAACAAAAATAAAATTATATTTACTTTTTACAAAAAAATTACACAAAAAACAACATATTTATATTATTTTGAATGTACATATATTCACTTACATACATTTACATTTTGCACTTGCATATACATTGCATTATTTCACACACTTATACATACATGTTGTATTATTTTGATTATACTTAGTATTCTAAGCTTGAGATTTTAGGTATTACATAGTAAATATTTTATTTTCTTTATTTCAATTTTTTTTAAAGTTCAGTTTTATTATGAGTTTTTTTTTTTTTAAAGTAGTGATTTCAGTTTTTATTGAGTATACAAATATTTAAAAATCTATTCGCTGAGGAAGAACTTCTGATGTGTGGACATGAGAAATTCCATCTCATGCATATTATTTTCCTTTTCAACCAGAATAAAGTTATAATGATGTTATATATAGAAAAAAATTAAAAAAAGATAGAGAAATGAAAAAGAACAATAAAATAAAAAAAAACAACATACACACATATACACACACTTACAATATACATACATTTATATTTTAGCTTTACATAACATTTTTTTCTCTCTCTCTTTTCTCTCATTTGGATGCCATGAAGAGGAACAAGACTTCTGCTTGGAGGGCTATCAACATTTCTCTGGTTCTTTTATCTAGTTACTAGTGGTATGATTAATATATTTGATATCCTTTCTCAATAAGTTAATTATCTATAACTATATAATGATGATTTTGTCTACCAATTTCTTTTTTAAGTATAGGTGGTACTATTTTATGGCACAGGTACTTGAATTTTTGTTTAACTACCACAAAGTTTTTCAAAAGAGATTATTCCAAAAAGGATTTTCTAACAGAAATCATCCCATATCCTTTAAAAAACATATCCTAGGGTACATTTTATCTTTTTCATATATCTCTCTTAAAATTCTCTTTTGAATACTGTATAACACTTTTAAGGTGTTGTCAAGGTACCTCTAAACACAATTATGCCATACGTAGCTATTGCCCAGAACTACGTATAGTACATCATTTCCAGTTGATTTTTACAACAATAAGATGTAGTTTATAAAAAACATAGATCAGATATCATAATTAGTCTGTACTATAAGGAATATGATGTATCCATTTCAAATTACGATCAGTAATTAATTACACCCAAGTATTTGGTATATTCTTCCTTAACAAAATTAGGACAATCACATGTACTACCAGGATTCTTACGTAAGTTTGAGTGTGGTTGCTACTCTGTATTTAATGGTAAACTATCTACATAGCTATGAAAAGACACAAAAACAGTTTTAGTTAAATTTAAAGTCTGATAAATTGCATTCAACCATTTTGCGATTGCACTCAGTTTAGCTTGAGCTAAGTTTTTCACTTCTAGCCATGAGTTCCTTTTATGAACAGTCTAGTATCATTTGCAATAGCTGTGAATTGACCTTTTGGCAGAGTTTTGAATAGAGCTTTTATATACAAGTATAATATGAAAAATAGAGGCCCAGGGATTGTTCCTTTGGGAAACTCAAAAGTTACTTCCGGCTCACTACTAATACATTTTTTGATTCTAACTACTTGTTTCCTACCAGTAAGGTAGCTTTCTATCAATTTAAGTATGATCCCTCTAAAGCCATAGTTGTATAACTTAACTAATACAATTTCATAATTCACTGAATCAAATACATTTGCAAAGTCCAAGAAAACCGATTAGCTAGGAAACTTTTCATGTACTGCACTGCAAATCTAATTTGTCACATACTTTAAAACATCTTCTGTATTTTTGTTCTTCTGAAAACAAAATTGAAAGTTATGTATATTATTTTGTTTGGTGATAAAGTCTTAATTTTATTTTTCAACACATCTT